AGAACTCAGTAGTTTTATCATTTGCAAACTTTTCTTCTATTATTTTGTCAGTATGCCCTCTTTTGTCTCTTCTTTCTGTACTATTCTTTGGAACTTTGGATTTATTCTGACATATATCTTTTTTCTTAATTTTTGTTTTATATTTCTCATCTCTTTGTCCACTTTGGAAGACTTCCTGGGCTAATTCTTTTACTAATTCGCCCTTTAGCTTTGGTTATTCTGCTATTCAACCCACCTATTTAATTTTTATTTAATTTTTTTTGTTTGTTTTTTATGAAGCAATGCTCTTTGTTTTTCTCTTCTGGTTGATGGTGTGCTATCTGAATAGCTAGTACATTATTCTATGGAAACACTGTCTTACATTTGCCTTTATTTATTTATTTATTATTTCAAAGGTTGAATTTTTAATCACTTTTAAAAATGTATTCAATAACTTTTTTTCACAAAATCTTTGAGGATTCAATTATACTTTAAAGTTTTGTTCAGAATATATTAACTGTGTCCTTGGATGCTAGGGGGTTTTGTTTCTTTGTGGTGTTGGTTTTCTTAAATGTTTGGTGAGTCTTGGTGGTAAGGTCTGGAAATTTTGCACTATTGATTCTCAGCTGGCCCTCTGTGAAAGCAATACCTATTACTACAGTCTGACTTCAGTAACTATGGAGAGCACCCAGGGATATGTGAACAGTTGGATGTGCCAAAAGCCAGTCTGTTGACTATTAAGCTCCCTACTCTTCCTAGGTGTTACTAGACACCCAAGGCACCACTTATCTCTCAGGCCTAGGTACCACATTCCCTGCTCTATTGGGGTGGTACATGGTCCTGAAGCTTACTATTTAGTAAGGGGGATATTGAGAGGGCAGGGTAAAGGGAGAAACTTTACTGTATGGCTGAACTATAGCACCCCAAACAACCACTCTGTCAGTCGCTCAGCATTCCCTTCTGTTTCCTGTACTCATTGCCCTTAAGTTTGGAGCGCTCGGGCAACCATGCCCACTTCCTGCAGCAGTCTGTTTTTGCCCACACTTTGTGCCAACTTGAATTCCAATTCTGTATGCTGCTGCTTTCAGGAACACTCTAGTCTGTATGTGTGTGTGAGGGGGAACCCCATCTAATATTTCAGAGTCATTATGAATTTAAAAAAAAAAAATATATATATATAGATATAGATATAGATATAGATATATACTATTTCTTTTAGGGATTGGGGACAGGAAGGGATGACTGAAGCAATGCTCAGCCACCCACCTTGAGCTAATCTGCATGTGATACTTTTTGTTTTTTTAAGTATGAACATTGAATCTTCTCTCTGTTTACCTGTTATGCTCTCTGTGCAAAAAATAATAATAATGTATACATCCAACTTGTTAAAATCTCTGTTTGCCATATCCTACAAATTCAGGGACTATCTTGTCCCATCATGTCTCTATTATTTGGCACTGTGCCTAGCTCATGACAGGTGCTCAATAAATATTTGTTCAATTAATATATAATATACTCTTGAACATGTACAGAGTTGAGCTGTTTGTAATCATTGTTAATTAACACAAGTGAATATAAATTTAAACAATTTTATTCACAGAATAAGTAGCATAGCAATATGTATTTTTAAAATTTGATATTCTTGAGCTAAATCCTCAGAAGAGAAGAGAGTTATAGGCTGTAGTGATGATTCATGACAGTATTGAAACTATGATCTTGGTTCCCCTAACACTGTGCCTTAGCAAACTGACTTATGCGCTCTAGGGGATAAAGAGATTGCTCAGCTGCAGAAAATGATTGCCTTTGCAGCATGTAAACACAATGCCATCAGTGTTCTTGGGACATGAAAAATGAGCCAGGCCAGGCAGAGCCAGAGGGAAACCATAGCATCCTCATCTCCATTTTGTTCTTCGTGGCAGGAGAGGGACCAAGTGAGGATCTCAGCCACATCTGCCCTAGGCCACATGCTGTATCGAGTTGACAAGTTCAAGCCGGGACCCATCCTCCGCAGAGAGATCTACACTCTTTTAGTCCCGCTGTTGCTTAGCTTTCAGGACAACAACACTGAGGTGGTCAAGGTATTGGTGGCCTCTGTCCTGCCGGCCTCAGCCCGATTGTATCCATCTCTGCTATAGCACAGCCCCTTCCCATTGGCACTCTTTCATGAGCCCAGTCTTGGCTGTGCATTCAATGTCTACCTCTTCAGTAACATCCTCTGGGCACTCTTTCTTGGGTGCCATCAGTCTTATCCTGATATGGTTCTGCTCCTTGAAGCTATTTTTGTCCCTTGTCATGATCCCAGCTACTAACCCCCAACCGGGCCCCTTGGGGGCTAGCTTTGTGGTCTTCCACTTAGCACCTGGCCTGGCTCTGTAGAGCCAAGGCTTCTCGGGATTTCCTTCTCTCCATCCTGTAGGCCTGTGGAGGGGCCCTGACTGAGTGGACTAATGTGATTGGCTGGTCGTCACTCACACAGACATTCCGGCACACCACCCTCAGTGATCACATCCAGGTGTTGAAAGAAACATGCAATTACCTGGTGAGTGAGAGTCTCTGAGGAAGCCAGGTCAAACATTCATGCTAGGGGCTCAATGGCAGGCTGGCTGGGTAAAGAGGACAGGGCTGACAGAGATGTATTTTTCCTTTCCTTGATTCTCATTCTTTATCATCGACAAACCCTGAGAACCCACATTTGGGATGCTAGTTCCTGGTTCCCCATATTTGACAATCCCCCCCCCGACCCCTACCCCCTAGCATCCCAATCTCTCTCTGCCTTCAGAGGCTAGGGACATCATGTGAGGGCAGTAGATGACAATGGGACAGGGGCCTCTGGTTAGAGTTGGCAGGAGTCATCAGGGCTTTTAGACCAGCAGCCATGGTGTTAAGGGTCTGTGGCTCCTGTGAAGTCAACAACAGGCCAAAGATCAGGAATCCTTGTTGAAAAATAAACATTTAAGGACTAAGCTAGTAGGTTAGGAACTAGCATGAATAATTCTAATATTATGAATTCTGATGCCTTACACAGATAGAGCACTTTACAGTTTACAAAGCACTTTTATATCCATTATCCCACTGGAGCCTTACAGTTATGTAAGGGAGGTTGGGCAGATTTTATTTCAACTCTACAGATGAGAAAATTGAAGCCAGTAAGTGCCAAGGCCAGTTTTCAAACCTGGGTCTCCTTGCTCCACATCAGTTGTTTTCTCTGTTATCTTGGTGGGACCAAAGAGCAAAATTCTCTTTATGAATTTCCTGCGGCGTCTGCACTGTTGCTGGGGGTAGGGGTGTCTGAGTGTACGGGTTCAAGCAGTTTAAGCTGACTGAGGACAGAAAATGCTATTGCTTTTGGACAGGCTAAAAGGCCATGGCTGCAACAAGGTCTTTAGTAGAGTTCACAGCAGCCCCCTCTCCTAGTCAACACCACTCCCCTTTGGCTCCCCAGGTAAGCACATGTGAAAAACAGCTCCTTGGGGAGTTCCTGTCCCAGAGCTTTGGCTTCCTGAAGAGCCCTCAGACCTTCCTAAGGGAAGCTGCAGTCAATTTCATAGGTAGGTGGTCCCTCCTGTCAATCCCTCCCTCTTCTCTTTAGCAGGGAAGCCCTCCTTGGCCTGTTGCTAAGGGGCCAAGCCAGAACCATGTTACAATGAAGCTGGTCACGTTCTGTCCTAGCTCTGACCTGATGAGAGAAGTTGTCCGGTGACCAGCCTTCAAATTGTGTGTTAGAAAGGCCTGGGGAGAAAGAGTATGCTATGTGCTTGCTCTGTGTGCATCACCCACGTTGTCTGCATGCTGCTTTGTGGTGAAGAGAACCATACACATTTGGAAGGGAAAAAGTTATTGTGTTGCTTCCACTGGAGCCCAGTGGATTTTACAAAATATTTTTGAACTATAATAACAGAATGTGTTAATGTTAGCAAGTCTAAAATATTCATGTTGGCAAAAAGAAGATATAAATAATGCCAGAACTTCCACCATTTAGATTTAATCACTGCTAACATTCTAGAATTTTTTTCTTAAAAATATACCCCCCCCACACACACACACGTACACGCACATACATAGCACTTTTAAAAAATGCAAACTTTGGTACACTGTTTGCTGTATCACAAATATTTGCATTCCATACACTTCACATACACTTCAACATTATTTTTAATGATTGCATAATATTTTATTGTATAGGTGGATTTATGAAACTAAGAAGTCCTTATTTTTTGAATATCGAGATTGTGTTATCTTTAGTTTTTATAAGCAGGGACACAGTGGTTAAATCTCTGCATGTCATCATGATTATTTTGTTAAGATCAATTTCTTAACAAATAGAGCTGCTTGGGCCCAAGGGTATGCAAAATTTTAAGGATTTTGGTGCCTCTTGCCAAATTGCCCTCTAAAAAGTTTGAATCATTTTCTATTTTCACCAGTCCTGTATGTGAGTATTCATTTCTCTAGACATTTGCCAACCCTGGGTAACATGTTTTAAAAATCATTACCAATTAGACAGGTAAATTGTTGTTTTGATTAATATTTTTGTCAGCAGTGAAGTTCAATATTTTTTCCTGTTTATTGCCAATGCATTTTTTTTTTTTGCAAATTAATTGCTTTGTGCCCTTTGTCCATCTGTTGGAATAGGAACCCCGTGAAGTTTAACATTCTGGGCTCATGCTTCACATGTCACCAGCTGACAACATTTTTCTGGGCCACAGCTGCTCTAACAGTTGTTCTTTTACTAAGACACTGATATCAAGGCATCTCTTAGATACATTCCTTGCTAAAAGTAGTTTTCAAATTTCCTTGTTCACCACTGAGCCTGGGGAAAGGGGTGGCCCAAATATCCAGGAATTCTGGAAGGACTAAATATGTCTTGTCTTTAGGATTAATAGTTAAGAAAATAAACATGAATCATATACAAGAGGATGACATCCAGCTGTTACAGAATGGTGAGTCTGGCCTTGTACCTGGGTTCTGATTTCGCAAGGTGCGGGTGGGGCAAGAAAGAAAGAGGAAGAGGAAATTCCTTAAGGATATGTTTCATTATTTTAGATAAAGTTTATTTTTACCATTATAAATGTTACATATAAAAGTTTAAAATGAGAGAAGTAAGAGGAAGAAAACAAATTATCCATTGTCATAGTAGATAGATAAAAACACAGCTAACAAAAGCATTCCAGGCACTGGACATTTATCATGTGCGATAGGTGCTGACACTGCAGTGGTGTTCAAGGCAGTCATGGTCCCTTACCCCCTAAAGAACTGGTAGTTTTGTGTTCTTTTTTTTATTGCATTAAAATATTTAAAAATTAATTTATATTTATAGAAGAAAAACACAAGTATAATCTCTCTGCAAAAAAAAATAATAGAAATCTTATCAATAAGGGTAAAGTTCTATTAACACCCTATTAACAAAAAAGTCTTGCTCTTTTCTCCTCTTCCCCTGCCTGTTTGTTATATAGTCCTGTGTTCTTTTTCTGTGTA